TTCGTAATAGACTAAACATAGTTTTGCAAATTTCTAATTTTAAAATCATAGATACAATCGCGTAAAGTTAATTATACTACACGCAATATTAGATTCTATCCGCATATGCTTCTAGACATAGAGACAAATAGTGTAGCTTTATTGTGGAATACAAGATCCACAATGTATCGTAGGAATGTATATACTATGCAGAAAATGTATGCACGGCAAGCACAGAATATTACATTCGCAAGGACAATGAGGGAAGCGAAAGCAAGCCTCACATCGAAATTCTATAGCACTAACAATGTGTCAATCAATCCTTCACTTAGAGGACATCTCTATGCGAGTAATGTCATCAAAACCGCCCGCTTTCGGAGATATGAAGATTGCACGTAATGCACTTTAGATTCGTAGCTACACGTACGCAAGAATTTCACCGACACTCTCATGACACATAAGAAGAAGAAAAAAGAAGGTGCGAGAGAAGATGGCATCTGTGATGGCATCAGCTTTATGCTTTATGCTTTATGGATGTAGCCTGTATCCGCACGTGACACTGTACGCCCGCAGACATGATGTATGTTCTTGTTTGTTCTACAAATGATAACGTCGCCTTCAGAGTTCTCAGGATGTTCTTGTTCTCCTGTAACGTAGCGGACGATCGAAGACAAATTCGTTTCTTCTCGGCCATATATTCTTCTTGAAAGTAGTCTCTCGGTTCTACATAAAATAAGGTCCCTTCATGTGTATTTATTGCAGATCATACAACATATTTATATTTTTGCTATGGAGTGGATGACATTGATGTATATTAGTTCGAAAACAGCGAAAATGATACCTTTCTTGAAAAATTTTTTAAGCCTTATGATTCTTAATTATTTCAACCATCCACGAAAAATAATACTAGTTTACATATTTTGAATAATTTTTAATTATTTAAGAAAAAAAATAACTTTTTATTGCGTATTTTAGAGCACTGAGTCCGTACGATTGCCATCAGAAAAATTCCATCAGGCCGAATTTTTAAGATAATATGTCAATTTTAAGATATGTCATTTTTCACATACAGTTTTTTGTAATTTGAATGCGACAAGGCGAACATTTCCACTAGAATTTAATAATAATTTAGAAACATTATCAGAGATATTAGAAACAAGCTAGGTGACTTCTGCTGCTCTATAGTTCTAAAAAATATAGATGTAGATTTAATACACGCATGCGATGTTCATAAGATTTTTGTTGTTGTAAATTAATATTAATTACATTATCCTGTCAAAAATATTCATAAAAAAACATATAAATCTATAAAAACATATACACATAAATATAAAAGCAGATTGGAGCTAAATATCAAAAATTATTCTAGAAGCAGTCTTTACACTCTTCCAGAAATTTTGTAAACTAGTGTAATTATTCATTAATTATCTATCATGCATGTTTCTACTTTGTATAATATTTTGCTGTGTTTTATCATTGGATATTAATTGTAATACTATAATTCAAATTTCGAAAACTAAATTCAGATTTTCCGAATTTATTCGAATCTCTAAACAATCAAAACGTATTATCTTTATTTCCGATAAAAATATTTACGCATCATAAAAACAAACATGTGCTTTTAATGTAAACTGATGTACCATGAAAATATTCTGAAATGCTACTAACTTGGCTCTCTTTGCAATACATCTAGAAAAATATTATTATAAAAAATAAAAGCATAATTCTCGAGAGGACGTCGTGTGTTGATGCTAAGTTTGTATATACAGATAGATGAAATTTTATAATACACGTATCATGTAGAATCACGTTACTGTAACTAAACTCGATACGCATCCACGTTTGTTCCTCGGAGTAATAACGTTGAGCGACTCCTGACTTCTATGCGCACCTCTTTTTCTATCTTATTTTCGTTTATGAAGACAAAAGACGCAACTACATTAAATGAATAAGACAAAAGCAAAACTGTATTAAAGGTAACATAACCGCGTGATATCTTTAGCAGGCAACAATAATAATTCTCTTTGTGAAACGCGACGTAAATGTGGAAGATATTTCGATACCCGTGCAGTTACATGGAATAAACGATGAAAGGAGTTTAATCCTTTAAAATGTCACGTTATCCTTAAGCACTAAATACGATAGTATTAATTATTTGTATACGATTATATCTCGGTTAAATAATGTATAAGAACGAAGTATTTCAAATCGTATATTCATTCCAAGAAAATTATGCTACATTTGAAGATAAAGATATAAATTTTACTTTAAAATAATTAATTGTTAAAAACATCAGAAATGTAATTAATAAGGGAAAAGATTCAGTTATGAGCGGAAAAGAATAAATAAAAAAATGTAGAAAATTCGATATTATTGTTGTTATTAAATGTGTCTCTAAAAATATTTTGACACAATTGATAATTCATGCCGTTTGTTATTTCAGATCCCGAAGGACAATGGACTATACAAAATACGACATTTCCAAACTTCTCACGATAACGTGACACAATCTATAACATCATTGATCGAGTTTAGAGTGATAAACAGTATGTTTCGCAAAGGATACTTACACCTGCGCTGCACGGTCTTCATTTCAGACGTTTATCGAAAATCGACAGACATGAACATCTCTGAGGACACACCACGTATCGCATCGATCACCGGCGAATCACCACCGTTTGGTCATCGTAAGTACTCATTGATTTCGCTGTGTTACTCTTTATTCCCAAGCAGAACAACAGATCATAACATCAAAATAATATTAAAACGAATATTGAACGATGACTGCTAAAAATGTGACTCTTAATAATCACTTTGGAATTATTTTGACCACTTTAATCACCATAACTTTTTGTTCTGTTTGGGTAGTTTGGATTCTGATATTATCTTTGAAGATCGCCTTTAATCGCTCACAAATATTTTATGTAAAAAAATAATTCTATTATTTCCTGAATATTCTTGCTAATCGGTCAAATGTTTATATTAAAATCATGCTTATCAAGAAAACTGGATCGTATATCAATTATCGATATTGTATCAAGTCTAGAGATATCAGCAATTATTTTTCTTTGTACTATGCTAATATTTCATCGCTTCAACTTAATTTTAGAACGCCTAAGAAATTTTGTATCACGATAAGTTAAATTATCTCTATATAAATAAATTAAATAGTAAGAAAAAAGGAGTCAAATACGATCAAGGCTAGATTTTGATGCCTAATAATATTTTTGTACGTAATTTTTAAATACATTTTTCAGTTATATAATCTGTGCACTGATACAATCGAGAGAGAGAGAGAGAGAGAGAGAGAGAGAGAGAGAGAGAACTTGATATACAATCATAAATCTGAAATAACAAATAATATCACAAATTAATTTAATTTGTGATTTTATTATTAATGATCTCAATTTAACTCGAGAATAATTATCTGAAATATTTTTACATTTTGACAATGAAGAATATAAAGAATATAAATTGTTATAAAGTATGTTTTATATGAATATTGTTTAAGATATTTTCTTTTTTCTAATAATTATTTTTTACAAATCCTCAAAATATATAATTCCATCAAAAACTCGCAAAAAAGATATTATATTAATTAAAATCTTTATTTTTTTAGAAATATTGCCATAATAAATTACTTAACATACATATTTTATTTAATATTTGTTTGATTTCTACTTACTTTTAAAAAAATTGTGATTAAATCTCCATATCCATAATGTTTTTAAATATAATAAATCAGAAAGCAATCAATAATATGCAATATGTTCTTCAGAATAGATTTTAATTGAAGTATAAAAATTCCAGGTAAGCGTTTACATAAATGAAAATCAGGATTTATTATTACACACACACACACACACACACACACACACACACACACACACACACACACACACACACACACACACACATATATATATACACATATAATATATACCCGGATTAATAATCTGCATCTTAAAACACTACAAAAAATTATTGCGAATAATATTATCTCTATTAGGATTCCAGTTTGACATCTTCCTTATTTAAGATACTTAATAGCATCATTGTTAAAGTGACGATCAATTTAATTTGATATCTGGAGACACGATAGTATCTTGACGTTAAGACGTGGTTATTATTTCAACATCAGTTTATGTTTCAAGTTAGATAATAATCGACGCGGAGTTTATGTAACTAAAAAATGTATTTAAAATTTACATAAATATTATTAGGCACTAAGTCTAGCCTCAATCGCATTTGGCTTTTCTTTATTCTTATTTGATTTGTATTACGATCTCATCATCAAATGTCTGCGACATGATAATACATTCATGCCTTGAAAAATTATAATATAAACGCTGGACGTAATCGTGAATGTTTTTTTCTTTTCTCTGTGTATCTTTCTGAGTTTTCGAGGTACTCAGCATTCGTAAGCGAATAAATAGCTATCATCAAACTTAAAATGAACATGTAAGTTTGACTGTGAAAAACCGAAGTTTTTCAAAATAGAAATGAGAAGCAATGATAAAACAGAAAATCTGTCACGTAGCGAGAATACTTTTCGAGTCGCATATCGGCGCTTTGTTATGACATGGAATCAATGCAGCATCGAGATAGTAATACAATCAACCATCTCTGACGGCAGGAAACCATGGAACTAGAGCGAACATTAGTTCGATATATGTACTGCGATTGGTGGTTGTCAAGCGTGCTTATACAAATCACGCGATATTATTGAACTGAACAAAGTTCATTGATCAAGCTAAATGGGACGATGCGAACAGGCGTAAATACTCTTTCTGCAAATAACGCAACGGCAAATCGAACGAGTTGCGCAATTCGCTCTCAAAGTTAACGAGGCACGAAGTCATGCTTTTTATCCTTTGTCTAACAATACAAAGGTTCCTATCGAATGCAGAATTACTGATTCACAAGACGAGAAATTCGAGAGACAAAACGAAAAACGTATTCGATACACAATAGCAACTCACAAATACGATACTGGCGTAATATCGATATTACAAGTTTGATTTTATATCGTTTTCATTTGCAAGCATTTTATAAAACATACTGTACAATTTCTCTACCCATACAGTTTTTATGAAATATTTCGTCTTCGAGAGAGAGAGAGAGAGAGAGAGAGAGAGAGAGAGAGAGAGAGAGAGAGAGAGAGTCGTATGCAGTTTCGCAAAATACGATTGCAACAAAACGCGACGATTCTTGGAAGGAACATTATTTCCGAGACAAGTGTAATAAAGCTAACAGCAACAATAACATTTATGATTCCACGACTCCATGAACGTATCGGGTCGTATGCAATCTTTCATGTGAATCACGCCGCCCAACGACAGTTATGTCCTCTTCGTAGCCGTATCAAGCCGATCACCAAGAAACTGTACGGACTACTGATTGTTCCAGTTGAAAAAGCATAGCCGTTATCCAGTTACAGAAAATGGTCTCGCATTCGTCTTCCCAATCGCATCACTCCACGCGATACGCCTGTCAGTCCGATTTAACTCGTGTCTTATTTCCAACCCCCGTCGCGCATGCAGTCGCACGTAAACGCTATCGCTAGAACAAATTCGTTCCCCTTCGAGTAGCGAGAAGATGACTCACGGTGATATCTCTCGTAGCGAACATATGGATAACCTATCTCTATTTTATGTAATAAAACAATTGATGTAAAAGAACAGTAGGATTCTACTAGAAGTTTTGCGAAACAGGATTATATTGAATCGTTACCGTTCTTAATTAAAGTTAATTATTATACAGAGCACGTTGCACTTTGCGATTACACTAGTCTGCGAATAGATACTTTGGAATCATTGTCTGAAATAAAGTGCTAAATATTGGTACTTTTACATGATAAAAAAGTTAAAATTTAGGACAAATTGATGCCAATGCTTTAACGTCATAAAAACTCTCAAAATCATTTTTTTTTTTAATTGTGATGTGGTAACTAAATTGGACAATAGATTCGTGATCAACATTTAATATTAAAAACAGTTAAAATAATAAAAAATGTTTTTTTTATCGCAAACTAGTGGTACACCATGCAACAGCTCAACGGCATTCTTCACACACACACACAAAAATCAAAATAATCTAACATCGACGTCCATGCGATATCAAATTATTTGCATGTTTTGATGTATATTTGGAGTTTAGAGAAAGTCATTTCAGCCGTAAGATGAAATTTCACAATTGTCTATGTGAAAATGTCACGAAAATGATATATTTTCATGTAAAATTATTCGATAAATGATAAAAAGTCAAAAAATGATAAAACTAAAGCGACTGGAGCAGAGTAAAATGAAACAAAAATATTCTTCATCGAAAATAGCTCAAAAGACTTCTATAATTATATAAAAAATTGAGACCCGAAATAAGTCTTACACGTTCTTATATGTAATGTAGCTTACAATGTGAACAAAAAATATAGATACAAGATTTAGTAATAAACAGTTTTAAACTATAATGTTCTGTGAACATGTGAACACAAGTTACATATTTGATATATTACAGCTCAAGAACTATTCATTAATTGAGTCATATATATATATATATAT